TCCACTGCTGGACATAGGCCTCTCCCAAGGCGCGCCACTTAGCCCGATCTTCGGCTACACGTAACCAGTTTCTACCAGCCACCTTGCGCAGATCGTCGCTCCATCTTGGTCAGGGGGCGTCCCACACTACGTTTGCCTAGACGCGGTCTCCACTCCATAACACGTCTACTCCACCGGTTGTCACCTCTGCGACAGACATGACCAGCCCATTGCCACTTCAGCTTACAAACACGGAAAGCTATGTCAGTAACCTTGGTTCTCCGGCGGATTTCTTCATTTCGAATTTTGTCTACCAGAGAAACTCCGAGCATAGCTCTTTCCATTGCTCGCTGAGCGACTTTAAGCTTTTTGAGCAGATGTATCGTCAGTGTCCACGTTTCGGCACCATAAGTGAGTACGGGCAGAACGCACTGGTTGAAGACTTTTGTCTTCAGACTTTGCGGTATGGGCGACGTGAAAACCCGACGGAGCTTTCTAAATGCTGCCCAGCCCAACTGAATCCTCCGATCGACTTCCTTCTCGAAGTTATTCTTACCTAGTTGCAATATCTGCCCGAGGTAGGTATATTCCTGGACAACTTCGAAAATTTCACCATCAACGGTAATTGGAACTGGCATGACGTAATCGTTGAACATAACTTTTGTCTTGTTCAAATTCATGCACAGACCAACACGTTGCGAGGATTCATTTAGTCTGTTCAGCATATCCTAAAGTTCCTGCAGCGATTCTGCCATGACGATATCATCAGCAAAGCGTAAGTGTGAGATGTACTCACCGTTTACGTTAATACCGCATCCTTTCCAGTCTAACGTCTTAAAAACATCTTCCAGTGCATTTGTAAACAGTTTAGGGGATATAATATTGTTACGAGCTTGAGGTTCGTGACAATAAAATGGACACTAGTCTGACACTAGATGGCGCTAGTGTATGACGTTGAGCGCGTAACAATATCCCCCTGTCTCACTCCACGATGCAACTGGATTGGTTTTGTTTGACTGGTCTGTACTTGGACGGACATCGTACTGGTGTTGTAAAGACATCTCAGCACTTCGATGTACCGCCAGTTAATTTGGCACCGCTGCAAAGAATCTAGAACAGACCACGTTACAATGGAGTTTCACTTGAATGATGAATTGACATCAGAAGATCAAAATTGACGTCGTTGAATGCAATGCTAAAGCCAAGTCAGGTCAATACTGTTACTCACTGTTTATCTATGCCAAGACAAAATTCTCGGTAATCTTGATATTATCCATCTACATATCTACATATCTATCCAATTTTACAGCAACTTGCTCTAACGTTTTTTCCGGTTCACGGTTGGGAAGAATCTATAGCACACAAGCTTTTTTACTACAAGGATATCGTGAAAATTTTTATGACATGAACGCTTGTGACAGACATATGTACAGACACACGACGTTTAGTTGAACAACTCTACTTTTTGCCTCATTCTGTGATGTGCTTACTTAGTCATAATCATAAATCAATACGATTGTGGACTTTTGACACAGAAACTACCGCGCCACCGCGTCTAATTTCTGGTTTAAATATATTCCTTATCAGTATATCATACTTTTTTTCAGAATAAATACTGTGCCTTTAACAAAATGTTTTTATCATAGAACTCTAAACGGTAGTAAAGATTAACTGTAGAGACGGAGTTACGTTTTAAATAACAAAACAGCTCAAATAAATGAATACACTCATTTGCGAAGAAAAAACAATACGAAAAAGGTTTTAATCATTTTGAATATTTTACCGGCCGGTTATAAAAGTGCCGTGGTAATAAAAAAGTACCAAATTCAAATTTTTCTCTGACGATGGTTTAAGAACAACTTTTTATTACATTTAGTGGCGCGAATTCTCGAAAGTTAATATCTATTCTAAATAACATTTTTATTGAATTATCTCACATCCTTGACATTTTATAAAAAATATCATTGCTGTTTAGCGCTTCGAAAATAGTAGAATGAACAGATAAAAGCCAGCAAAATTGTTGCGCTGCTTGAGGAGGCTTGCAACCAATGCTTCGTGGCTTATAGGCTAATTAAAATCTATCAAAGACATTTAAGGCCGAATACGACGCGAATGACCTTGCTCGTTTCGCAGCAAACCACGCGCCGCCAGTAGGCTTTGTTTATATAGACAAACGGGTACGGGTACAGGCTTTGATTACCTATATTATATTTGACTGAGCTAGCTCAGTATGCAGAGTAATGAACAACACAGAGAGCATTGCTTACTTCTTAAATAAATCTTTCTTATTTATAATATTAGTTCCTATAGATTATAAATTCTGTACTTTATTCATTATAAAATATTGTTCGAAAAGTTATTGAATTGATAACGATTTTTTTCTTAATTGGTGCATCGTACTTAAAGAACCTCATATAACTGAAAATGTTTGTTCTTGTGAGTCGTACAAGATGCCGTAATGCAAATTGCATAAATAATAAAGAAAAAAAAACTAAAGTCAGTGATTGCCCCATAGTGGGGATAGGTACTGTGTATGTAAATTCTCACAAGACTACTCCGACTGGTCAATCACTTCACATCCGAAGTATTTCGGTTTTTCTTAATTATGTACTTACCCCATGCTTTCGGACAATACATTGACTATGACATTATTTGCGGTCTCTGTGCTTGCACTACTCTGTACATTCTTTTCCGACTGGGTCTTGATATTTACATTTTTAGTGTTTCTCACTTGAAACTAGAAAAGTATAAATGATCAGTTTGCATAATGTAAATGAGTAAAAATGCAACCTATTAGGCAGCCTCAAACAAAAAATTACCTTACAAAAATATAAGTATTAACCTCAAAATATAACCTTCGAGCTGCGTTCATGCGAAAAACTCTCTTTGTTTTACCACTTAGGTAACATTTATTTCTTTTCTTACCTATATTTACATTTATAGTCACTTAAACGCGTATAAAACGATAAATTAACGATTTTCGCTACAGACACATCGACTGTTATTACCTTACGTCACACGTCGAAGCGCCTGGTAATTTATTACGGCAAACTTTTATCTGGCAATATACGATATTATTATTAGGTGTTTATAATTAAAACGAATTATGTTAATAAATAATATTTTGTATCGAAAATAAAGATAGCAGGCCCCTTCGGAATCACAATACAAACATTTTTACGTAAAAGAATTTTTCCTAAATTAAAATTCATAGAGTTTTGGAAGAACAATAATTTTATATATCATTTTTAACATTTTTTTATTTGTTGGTATATTCATTTATTTTAAAATTTTAAAATGACGGTCACCTTGTGAAGGACCCGAACAAACCTACAAAAATATTTTAAAGCTTAGAATTACTTCAGGTCAAAGTTCTAGTCAAGAGAAATACATTAATTTTCGCCAGTTCTCTTCGTATTCGGCCTTAAGAAGTAGTAATTTAAATCTCTTTGGAGGTTTTGGTTTTGGTTGTTAGGTATATAACTGACCAAAGCTACTATTTATTGCTAATTTACAAAATTCTGACTATAAGACTACCTAAAATTATCAAACAATCTAATAATAACATTAAAATTGGTTCTTTGCTTAGGTTCCCGTTTATTTTGCAAAGGAGTTATTCAAATTCGTATTTTACCTAATATGAATATTCATTATGTTACAAGGGTCTAAATACCTCTTATCACAAAGGTCTAAATAATCTGAAATGGCGTTGTGCTTTGCAAAATTATAGTTGTAAATAATTCATTTTGGTGTTAGGGGTAAGTAAATAGATTTAATCACAACATGTTTTTAAAAGCTGTGATATTATATATATATATATATGTGTGTGTGTGGGGGGGGGTGTGGGAGTGGGAGTGGTGTGGGTGTGGGTGCGTGCGTGCGTGCGTGCGATCGTGTGTGCGTGCGTGCGTGCGTTTGTGCGTGCGTGCGTGCGTGCGTGCGTGCGTGCGTGCGTATATTTGGGGGCATCAAAAATTACAATTTTACGCTCGTATTTTCTGAGAGTGTGGTCCCTGGTCGAGCCGATCCATTCGTGCTACATCTACAGTGCGGCTGTACCACACACAATTTTTTTCTGATTTGAAAGAGCCAAAAGAACCATCACCGTCATCGTAAAAAAATAGTTTTGTTCCCAGTTCTTATACTCTGTCTTTACCTTAACCTGTTGGCCTGCGTTCACATACACCTATTTCGACATGGTCCCGGATTTGAATCTAAATGAAACTAAATGACTTTACACACTAAGTATGTGTATTTGTGGTCTTTAGATACATCACTCACTGGCCTTTTTAAGTCCACTGCCGGAAGAAAGCCTATTCAAGAATGCGCCAACTGGCTTGTATTTCTAAGAAAATTCGCCCGTACTCACCACCCCCATACCCCTTAAGATAATGGTGCATCATCGGAATGTGGGTTGAACTCATGTTTTCGTCACTAATGGGTTGTATGAGCCTCTTTCCTTAATCAGTAGCGTTCACTACCGGTAGGTGAGGTTAACATTTGGCAAAACTTCTAAAATAACATAAAAACTTGTTGTAATGTAATAACTTTTTACACTCAGCTCAGTATGACTACGCTATATTATCCTGCTATGTACTATAACACATTGCTTTATAAGCAGGCAATCTATAACAATTAATGCTTAAGAGATGTTGTTGTGCTTTATAATATTTGCTATATTCTATATATTATAGCGTAGTCTGAACTGAGCTTCATGCTATAAAAATTTGGTATATAATAAATACTTATATAATTACTTATAACATGAAAAATTGGTACGAACCACCTATTTGCCTACAGTACAAACAAACCAGTAGATGCCTTCAAACTAATTAATGCTGTGACGTGGACATTTTGTCTTTGTTCTAAAACATGGGCTCCATATTTAGGATAAACAATCAACGGACGGCATACTAATAAACGCTCAATCATGCTGAAGGTTCTTTAATTCTATCGCCTCAGCCTGTTAGCTTCGTGTTTATGAAAAAAAAAATACAATAATATTTCGTTCAATTAGTACAATGAGTGTACGAAAATTACTGTTTTGTTGCATTTGTAATAAGTGCCCTGGTTTTACTGAATCTTCGTCGAGTGCATCAAGTGAGTTTAAATTATTTAAGAGTCAAAGACAATGATATTAAATACAATTTAAAATCATTATTAACTATTTATAACGGTTCGACATAGTTTCATGAAAATAAGAGTGACAAATTCATTGGGCACGCTGTCCACCTGATGAAAAGTGAATGCTGTCGCCCATTAAACTCTTACATTTTTATTCTCGATTAAAAATCAAAAAGCAAATGCGTTGTCTCTTCGAGGATTAAGGTGAAAATTCTCCTGTTCTTTACATTAACCATACGAATCATAGCAATATTGTGCTGCTATTATACAGTAATATGTATTTTGTGAGAGCGTAGTCTTTTCACGGTCGGCCCAACCCATTCGTGTTGCAGACACAATACAGCATATCTCTACCACATTTATTGGAATGATTTTTTTATATTTCCATAAAGATAACTGTATTATATTTTAATTTGCAAGATATTTACATTGTAAACTCTTGAGGTTTAACATATTATATTTGATATTAATGTACTATTTACTGTAAAAGCCCGTATTTGGGTAAATCTTAAGTTTTTCTTTTGAATTTTAAGATTTACCAACAAGACCTGGTAAATATAAGTTTTGATTAAAATGTGACGATTTTTCAGGTTTTTACTATTAGAGTTTGGCACATAATATAAGTAGAAAGTATTTATAAAACATTGAATTATGTCACTTGCAAAATTTTAAAATATTTTTAACGCCGCCTCTACACGTTGGCCAACACAGTGGCGAATGTAGTGGCCAATAGCATTGGCCAACGTGTAGACGGGGTGTTTGGGATTCATTGCTATATATTGGGACGATGGCCCACAAGTTGGCGCGAGATCCGTGTGGTGTCGGTTTTTTTACAAAATATAAAGGATTGTTGGCAGAGTTTGGTCGCCGCGTCCACACGTTGGCCGCGCGTTTAGTTTGCTACAAGCTCCCAGAGTGATTACACGCATCTGATTTAAATTTTATATTCAAGCTTTGTAGGATGGATGTCCCAATTACCAGCCTTTTAGTGCCAATTTCAACTTTAAACATTCCTACTACTTTAATTAGCGCGATTTAATTATTTTTAAACATTTGTTTTAATCGATTAACTATTTATCAAAAAAATAACGAACATTTATTTACAATCAGATTATTGAGAGAACAATTTTAAAATGAAAAAAAAATGAAGCTCGTCGTTTATACGTGGTAGAACCATGCAGTTATATTAGAAGTATAGTTGTAGCACGAATGGGTCGGCTCAACCGGGGAAGGACCACGCTCTCACAGAATATTTGCGTAAAATAGTAGCTTAATGATGCTGTGTTTCGTATAGTGAGTGTAGAGAACCAGAGACCCTTTTTAACTAAACTTTAAAATCAAAACCCAATTTTAAAACATAGACTAATCGATTATAACTCCTTTAACTTTAAAATAAGTTAAGTTCTTATTAATGGTATTTATTCCAGTTTATGATGCATGTAAAGAATAAATAAAGCTAATCGTATATCGTATATATATTTACAGCCCCATTAATATCCACTATTCTTTTATAATTATTTTATAAAAACGTAACCCCCACACTTGGATTTTCTCCTGTATCGCGGAGGCAGCTTGCAAACATAAATTGCACAAGGACACACATCCAGACCCCAAATAATTATTTGTAGGATATACAAATACATGTTCCGTGCGGGATTCAAACCCGCGGCCCCCGGCACAGCTACTCATTGCTAAGCCACTGCGCCACGGAGCCGTCGTTCATCAGCACATTGGCCCGAACCGAAGTAAACTGAACGACCTTCCACTTCCAACGTATGGACGCCGTCACCAACTCTCGGCCAATATATTCGCCACTACATTCGCCACTGTATTGGCCAACGTGTAGAGGCGACATAAGACGAGTTTATAAAGTAGATTACAATAAAATAAACAAATATTTGCTTTATTCTCACAAACATAAAACCTACGTTGGCTAAGCTTACTATTCATTATTTTTTCTTACCATCATCATCATCATCATCATCTTCATCATTAGCCCTTCGTAAATCCACTGCTGAACATAATAATTTCCCCAATCCAACGCAAAGAAAGATCCTAGCAGATCGGCTTTCTCCTTTGCGGTATGGGCCAGTGAGTCGTCCTCCATGTGCAGAGATGGAAGAGATGGCTGACAGAAATTCCGCTGGACAGCCTTGGCGAGAGAGCAGAATGCACGGGTTCCAGAAGAAAAGCGAACTAGTTTCACCCCATAATCTCCTCCAAGAAATACGGTCCACAAAGTACGGTCCTCCATCTAGTGGGGGGCCGCTTTACACTTCGCCTACCGGTACGAGGTTGCCACTCCAGAATCTTTCCTCTCCACATCCGTTGAATTTCCAGAAATTCAATACAAATTCCTAATGGATGGAAGTCATTAGAATTATGTTTCCCAATTTAGAAACTACTTAGCACATTTATTGTCTCTCATAATCAATAACTGCATTGGTGGACGTTCATTTTCGACATTAAACCGTATAAAAATTATTTTAAGGAACACTATACGTCAAGAAAGCCTGAATTATTTCCCTGATTGCTATTGCTTAGAGAAATTGCTACGGATAGTATTATTTCTAAATTTGCCCACATGAAGCCTAGAAAAGTTATTTTGTAGACGTTTAAAAAGTAATGAAGAAACAGCTAAATAAATATAATATAATATGTCCGTAATTTAAGTACTCCATTAATAAAAGTATAAAATTAGCTATTCCTGAAAATATAATATTATACTTTGTTATAAATATTAATCTCGAAATATGGTTTAAAAAACATTTACAATTATTTGTTAGTATCGTCAGTTTTAAATTGTTAGTTTTTTATCAAAATCATTCTAAATTACCAGGACAATCTTAGGTCTGACTTTTTGTACTTTACAGAGTATAACAGGGCCTATAGTAAACTACTTTACTATTAAACACCAACAAAATTGTAACCTAAGTATAGATCGCTAATAAACTTATTGAGTATTGAATTGTTTTTCACCACTTTTTAATTAAAACCTATAGCAGATCAAGGGTTCCTCGATATTATTTGCTAAATCCGGCACTGAAAGGCATAATTTGTTTTTGTCAATTTTATTTTTGTCAATTTTTGTCTATTTTCTCTCAGTGATATAGCTCTTAATATTAGTTATGACCTTCACAAACTATGTAATTTGATTTGCAAAACTTTAGTTACAACAAGCCACTAAATACGGTTAACACAATCAACAATATCGGTAATGGAATTACCAATCAAGTCCGTTCATGTCATGTTTGAGCTCACAACGGAATCAGAATTAGGTAATCAATTTCGTTTCCTTTTGTGTGTAGAGCACATGGATTACGTTGTTAATATTAATAATTATTGGGTTTGTATTTATTTTATATTGAAATATTAGTATCGATCAGAGTTCCTCAGTGGGGTCCGAACGCCTAAGGAATTTACCTGCTGATCGTGGGGAGTAGACATATTATGTCATTCATTCATTTCTAGGGACTCGATCATTCAAATATTGATTCGTCTTACAAACCGGGTCATTCGGATCTATTATTCAAATGGATAATTTCGAGTTTCAGTACTCTGTGATCTGTGAGACCCACTCGATACATCGATAATGTCGGTTCTCGGACATTATAATACTCTTTGGTAGTTGGCCCTGTTAATTGTTTGATCCGAACCCTTAAAAATTGTAATTGCAAACTTCAATACTTTGCCTCAACCCGGGTCAAATGAACGTATCATTCACGATTAACACATGTTAGTAGGAAGTTCACGACAAGGTTATACGTTATGGCGGCTGACCGGCTGACTCTGGCTCATGCATGCTACACGCATGATGTTGCACGTCAGTTGTATGATTTTCCTTTATGATGCACGCGCCACCACCGTGTTTGCTTGCTGTTGTGATTTGACATAGTTTCAACACACGTCTGACCAGTCAAAAAATCAAGGCAAATAAAATCCAATACCCATTAGGGAAGAGCATCGGAATCTTCCCTTCCTTTTAAACGCTCTCAGAAATGTGACGAGTATTTTGCCTGCTAATTGCACGTATGTGGGCTGTTACCTTAGAGTAAGGAGCTGTTACTTTACTTTTTTTACTTTCAACACACTTCGCTGACAAGTTTTTAATAGCAGCACCAGATTTCACATACCCATCATCAAATCAAATAAGAAAATTTTCAACAGAATGAAATGATCGAAAATGCAACAAAAGTACTTCAATAATTTAACAACTCAAGCATTTTATTTTTCAGATGACAACAAACGATCTCTGAAGTCTGGAAACGAACTAATAGACTGGATAAGACTGGGAAATTCAGGAGTGGATTTAACAGGGGTAGGCGGTCGAGTGCGAATAGTTTGTCCCGCTGAGCTTAAAAAACATTGTACAAAAGGTTGTTTTTTAATCGATCTGGTTAACCAGAAGCACATCAGATGTAAAAAATATATAAAATATACTTGCAGATGATGCCTGGTTGGCAATTCGCGGACGTGTTTACAACATCACTCATTATCTACCGTATCATCCCGGAGGTTAGAAAGAAGGTTCTATTTAATATCATAATAGAAACATAAAGTTAAACCACAGTAGTTTTTAAAATGAAAAGTAAAAAGTATAAATATAAATAAAATTGATATGGCATGATTTAGTATACCCCACTATTATATTGAATTGTATTTTATAACATCAATTTTTAAAGGTGGAGCTGTACACGTAAATATAGATAATTATAGTTCGATTGCTTTGCAAAAACAAAGTTCAAAAAATAATTTCATTGATAAATATATATCACAAATACTAGCTACGCATACAATGAGGTTGTATAAAACATATGGTACAAATAATTCCAGGTGCAGAAGAGCTAATGCGTGGTGCTGGCAGAGATGCCACTGAATTATTTGACAAGATTCATCCATGGATTAATTACGACTCTCTTCTTGTGAAATGTTTAGTAGGAAATCTTCGCTCGGATACTCCAGATAATGACATTTTTTTCGATGCATCTGATTCCTTTCCTGAATCTGATCTTCTTATATCGTCATCTAAAGCAGGAGTACAGATTACGAACCGAAATTATATAACGAATTTTACCACTCCCCCTAAAAAGAAAATTCCGTACTTACAAGCAGAAAATTCGCAAAACTCTCGAAAAATAAAAAGCTTAAAGCAGGATGAAGCATTGTTTCCTGGATTTCTTGGTACCTTACATGTTTTAAAAAGAGAAGCATACGCTGAAGATGTGCCACCGGCCATTTTCTTTGATTGGGAACAAACTCTAACAAAACTGACAGTTGCAATCTATACTGGACCCATGAGTAATCCAAGTACTTATTCACAAATTGCAGAACGTAATTTGCTCATTAAAGTAACTGTTAACGGTTGGATACGAACTATTAAATTAATTACTGAAGATAGTCTGCTGGAATCCCTACATACAAGCGTATGTTTTGAAAGCGGAAAAATAGAGGTGTGTAATATAATGTTCTAAGAAATCAATTGATTATATAAACCTTACCGTTTCTACCACAGCAACAATTTCTAAATAATCAAAAGCTATCAATGCCGTAGGAGATATTATAGTGCCACAAGTATTTTATACGTGTAAACAAAGACACATTAGTCTAAACCAGTGGTTCTTAACTGATGGTTCGTGAACTACTGAGGGTCCCTGAAGGCACACAAATTGATCCAGGAAAGCATCATACAATTCTCTCACATATAAAAAAATGAATAATATTTTGTATATGTGAGAGATGTGCACTGCTACTGCAATTTACAGTTTATGTGTTGCTGCATTAAAGTAAGGGCATAAGAACGCTATACACTATTTTTATGCGTTTTAATTAGAGAAAAAACATAAAAATTTGTCTTACACACACACACACACACACACACACACACACACACACACACACACACACACACACACACACACACACACACACACACACACACACACACACACACACACACACACACACACACACACACACACACACACACACACACACATACACACACACACACACACACACACACACACACACACACACACACACACACACACACGCTCGTAACGTTCTCATTACTTAATAGTGAAGAAATAGTGTCAAAGACACAAAGAAAAACACAACACAAAAATAAAGTCGTAACTTTCAACTTTCTGCGTTTTTCGAGTTTATACTTTAAACCGATTTTGAAGATATGTCACTTAAATTCTTTTTTGTATTTTTACTACAGATTATAGCTCATAAAGCTGAAAGTAAAATATGGAAATGTTGTGGGGAGGTTACTATAGGTCCAGCAAGTAAAGATTTCTCACCTCAAATTATGAGCTTTAAAGTCGTAGATAACAAAAAATTAACTCATGACACCAGATTGTTGACAATAACTCCATGCTTCGGGACAGTTATCATTCCCATAGGCCATCATATACGAATACATCAAACAATTGCAGGCGAGTATTCCGTTATTATGTTAAATTATTAATAACTTTTTTTATATGATAGGGTGACAAACGAGCGCACAAGTAAGTGGTTGCTGCGGCCCATAGACATCTACATCTATCCTCGATTACGAACCAAAATGCAGATGCGTTGTGACCCGTGTGGACTAAGATGGAATGCCTCGTTTCCAGTAAAAAGGGTATCCGGTTCTTTGCTCATTTCTCCTGTAAAGGCGCCCTTTACAGGAGAAATGATCATTGTTTTTATAATGTGAATGACTACCTAAATTTGACATGATGTGACACAACAGTAGTTCTATATTTTTAATTGAATTTTTAATTTTAATTATTTTTAAACTTGTATGTGTTGGTATTAGTATTAGTAATTTGTAAACGATGACTATTTTATTATGAATATTTTATTATATAATTTCGATTAATATAGTAAACTTAATTATAAAAAATGTATTTGCATGCTATTCATAGATGGCTGAAAAAGCTGAACTACACTTTACAATAACCACCTTAATGTACCCTTTTAACAAAGCAAATAAATCTTCATTTCATTTGGTTTGCGTATAGACAATATTCTTAAATTAACTTTATGAAGTAGGTATTTAAATTAGAGTGATGAGTTCTATACGTGGTAGAACCATGCTGTAGTTATATTGGTAGTATAGTTGTAGCATGAATGGGACGGCTCGACCGGGGCAGGACCACGCTCTCACACAATCATAAAATAGCAGTGTAATGCTGCTGTGTTTCGTATGGTGAGTGTAGAGAATCGGAGACCCTTGTTTTTACTGAAATTAAGGCATTCCATCTTAGTCCTCAGTGGTGACAACGCATTTGAATTTTGATTCTTAATTGAGGATAATTGTCGACGTCTATGAGCCACAGCATCCACTTACCATTAGGTGGACTGTGTGCTCGTTTGTCATCTAATGCTATAAAAAAAGCAAAATACTGACGAAAATTGAAATGAAAACTTCAATTTCTCATTATCTTCTTTTCCATAATACTCTATATCTTTTTTTCCCTCTCTCCAGCACAATACTTTGCCACGCGTACCCGATGCTCACTATTTTTTTTCATTTTCAGATATTTCCTTAAAGTTTTCCCGTCTTTGAAACCATTTTCGGCAAATGGGATTGGCTTAATGAAATGTTTTCAGCGTCAAAAAGTTAAGAAGGACCACAAACACACGACCTAGTAGAGCAAACAATTTCTTTTATTCCATTTGTTTGAAATGTTTTTTGACGTCACAAATTCATCTTCTTCTAGTAAGAAACCGCAGTTAACAAACTATATAATGGTCACATGGCTAAACAATCCTAATATTTTAAAAAGTATCCAATACAAAAATATTTTCGATATCGTTACATTTATTGCCGGTATTACACTATATCTACGTCTTTTGTCACTTTTCATACAAAATATATGCTGCATAATATAGGCTGCTGTATTATGCCGCCACGTAAACTGAAATAGCAATGGGCTGGCTCAGACGAAATAGAGTTTTTATTTCGTCTGAGTGGGCTGGTCATGTGGTTTCGACAACCGACAACCGATGAGGAAGAAAGATACTCGAGTAATAGCCTTATACCGGTAAGAGAACTGTAGAGCGGAAAGTCGATGGATGATATCTTAGGGGCCTTCAAAAAACGAGCACACTTCATTTTAAAAGGTCTGCAACGCACCTGCAACTCTCTGGTAGCAGTTGTTTATGGGCGACACTTACCATCAGGTGAGTGGGTGCTGGTTTGCTCCCCTTGCTTCTATTAAAAATGCAAGTGGCCCAGGACAGTGTTTTGCGGTATTTCTTACGGGAGCCCTATGTTCAGCAGTAGACTTGTGATTGGCTGCAATCATGATGATGATGATGATTTAGTTAAAACCCCTCTACATTGTAAACGGCTAGATTTTTCTTTAACATAAAATAAATTCTCATGGCAGTATATGCGTATAGCTTTGCGTCAATACTAATATTTTTTCAGTTAAAGTTATAAATAAAAGTAACAGTAAATATATCTTTTTTTACTTCGAAGGTTCGGAGTACATTCGATCATACACGCCAGTGAGTAATTATTGGATTGACTCAAAATCGCATAACAATACGTATTTACACCTTGCTATAAAGCGTTATGATAACGGTATCCTCTCACCTATGCTCACCACATTAAGCTTTAAAGATGATCTAAAAGTGTCGGGACCTCACGGAACATTCGCATTACATAAGGTATGATAAACTTATCTTTTATCTACATTTTATTATATCTTCTACAAAACATATTTTTATTGGGAAAGGACATGGAAAGGTTGACAAACGAACACACAGTCCACCTGATATTAAATATATACTTGGTAGAGACACGCTGCAGCTATATTACGGTTGTAGCATGAATGGGTCGGCTCGACCGAGGAATGACTACGCTCTCACAGAATACCATCTTAATGTTGCTGTTTCGTACGATGGGTGTAGAGAACCGGAAACCCGTTTTACTGGAATCGAGGCATTCCATCTTAGTCCTCAGGGGTGACAGTGCATATGCATTTTGATTCTCAATCGAGCTTAAATGTCCATGGGCCACAGCATACACTTACCATCAGGTAGACTTTGTGCACGTTTGTCACCCTTATTCTATAAAAAAGTGGTTGCTGTGGCCTATAGACATCCAAATCTATCCTCGATTAAGAATCAAAATACAGATGCGTTGTCGCCCCTGAAAACTAATATTGGAAGGCCTCGTTTCCATTGAAAAAGGCTTCCGGTTTTCTATACTCACCATACGACACAGCAACATTAAGCTGCTACTTTACTCTGATATTCTGCGATAGCGTGCTCCTTCCCCGGTTGAGCCAACCGATTCGTGCTACAATTATAACATAACTGCAGCATAGCTCTACTAGAAATAAATCAAAATTTAATTTCTTACTTTTTTGAAAAAAAAAGGTTAAAATTGAAAAAATCTAAATCAGTATTTTGTTAGTGCTCAACTTTTTGCACTTTTTAGTGGCGTAATTTATTTTAGTGTCTCAGCAAGAGCAAAAAGAAAAGTTAATTTATTTTAAACCAACAATTGTGTATTCAATTTATGTACGATTATGTAGTATTTTTGTAGAATAAGGATGACAAACGAGCGCACAGTCCACCTGATCGATACTGTGGTCCATAGACATCTAATTTTATACTCTATCAGGATCAAAATGCAGATGCGTTGTTCCCCTTGATGACTAAGATGGAATGCCTTGCTTGCAGTAAAAAGGTTCTCGGTTCTCTACATTCATCATACAAAACACAGCAGCATTAAGCTACGTATTTACGCTGGTACTATTAGTATGGTTAAGATTTAGGTGTATCTTTTATTTATTTTTTAATTACAGCTTAAATTAATCAAGACAATCCTTTTATTAGCGGCCGGATCTGGCATCACACCTATGCTGGGCGTAATTAAATTTATGCTTTCAAGAACAAATCCTTTATGGTTTGTATATTTTAAAATAATCTAGAACTATTCATCCGAATATAAGTAATATAAGCAACTAAATAATAAATAAACCAAAACTGGCAGTAGATAGTTGTTATTCTTAAAAAAAGTAAATGCTCACAAAAAAGATTCGGCGTAGTCGGTGGCTACGGATTACAATAATGAATTCTCTTACGTCATCATTACATGGCAAGAAAACTGGATCAATGGAAATCATAAAAATGCCAGACAATATTTTTTCCTCGATTTTTAGCTCACGGGTCGAGCGCCTGCTTCAATTTTCTCGGTATCTACTCAAGCGACCTCATTTGAATAGCTATTGCCGGGAAAATAAAGACGCCTTTTTTTATAAAACTATAAAGACAAACAAACTTACTGTTAACCTGATGGTAAGTGGCTACTACGGCCAACTTTGAACAAAGAAGGCTACACATACGTTGTCTCTCTCCAGCCCGAGAGAATTTTATGTGATCGAGGAAGGGAGGGGGGAAAAAATTTAAATTTACTTTGCTTTCGAGCAACATCTAATACTTATTTATCGATTTCGCAAAGCGAGTGCGGGCGGCGGATGTATATAATATTTTTTTATTTGAAAAACTGGAGAAATTATTGCACCCCGGGAGGTCGGGAGATTAACCATTATTACTGGAGTCTCCCGGGCAATCCGGGAGGATTGGGAACCCTAGTTGTCTCCCCTGAGAACCAAAATACTTCACAGTCCTCTGGTTTCTGATGATGTTAGTGCCGCTAGATTTTTGGCTTTTACAGCTCCATCAGACTCAGAGCTAAGAAAGTGTTGTGCACTAGGGTGACGATGCTTCACAGCTTGACTCTTAAAACTCTTCAGACCGGAACACAGTAGAGCTAGCAATGCTATTTGACGAAAGAAATAGATAAGATAATGGTATATACCGTGACGGTCTCTTAACCAGAAGAAGAGTCCGGTCACCTTGTAAATCCAGTCAGTAGTAGTATTCAGATACTTATTGACAATTAATTTTACATTAGAGGATAACCCACAATTATTATTATTGATAGCGATTCGAATAACGAGCATTCTTTCAATTAAATTACAGCGAACGTGTACAACTATTATTCTTCAATAAAACCGAGAAAGACATCATGTTTCAAGAAGGCTTTGAAGAATTGGCAAATAGAGATCAAAGGTAAAAGCAAATCCTGTATACTCCACATTCTATAACTAAATACAAGATGTGTAAAAACTTTCATGTGTTGGGACTAATAAAATAAACGGTTCAGTATTGCCATGCGATGGCGAAGTAAATGATAGATATAAAAGCTAGAAAGACCATTGAAGATTTATATACATTACAAAACTCAATGAGAAAGACATTGTGGTATCCACAGAAATCTAAATAAGGCAATATTATTTAGATTTCTGTGGTAGTATCTGATAAATCGCGACATACCATCTAATAAATGTCAGATGTAAATGTTAAACTAAAAAATGTTAAACTAAAAACATCTTTCGAATAATATTAGTTTTATACCCCTTCTTTATTAACAAATAGTAAAGAAGCGTACGACAATTTTGACGTTGCGTGTTAAAATAATAAAATAACGGTATAATAAACAAAACAACCCGTATTTTGTAGGCACCGTAGTTGAACCCTTTACATGTTTAATTGCAATTAATGTGATGGCGAAGAGTTGTTGATTTTAGTAATTTTAGAATGTTCCTAATTTCTAAAATAATTAAATTATAGATAAATAAACAAAACATAGGAACATGGAAGTTGTAGATATGGATTGTATCGTAATAAGCAATAAATATAAATGCTCTTTGTACCTAATGGGAGATGGGAGGCTTATGCGATAAGATCGGCAAGGAACCGACATAATGAATTAGATGTACGTACTTATGTAGGTAGTGAGAAGGCTAGGTAAACCAAAACATGTAGATTATATTTCTCAAACAGCTATCCTAAAACGTACCTACGATATGATTCCATAGAATATCATTTATCTCACTGATGAACAATTTAAGCGAACTGTTGTTTGTTATACAAGCAAATACTTCTCAGTCTATACTACAGACATGCCTATTTGAAATATATAAAAGTATGGAAATGCTATGTAGGGGTTGTTTCACAGTGGAGAAGGCAGCTTCGCGCAAAAACGCTTGGTGCGGAACATAACTAACCACTAACGTAATTTGTGGGTTAAAGAATATAGATATACTTATACACAAGTAATTTGAACATTACAGACTCTACGCATGCGAACGTTCCACATGTGATCGTTGCGCGTGGTTACTTTGCACTATTCAGGAATCAATCAAAAATTTTGAATCCAGCGTCAGATACATATATGAAAAACATTCCAACCAGATCCGAAAACCAGCTGTTGTATATAAGCTTTTTCACAAATGCATAACTTGATAGATTTGCCACATTCACCACGCTAATCAAGCTTGTTAATGAGCGCAGAGCCAAAACCCTCAGCATTGATAATTGTTGCACCTCGTCATCAGTCCGGGAAATTTTAAAATGGCCCGAGCATGGTTCGTGAATTAGTGCACAATAGAACTGAACAGAAACTTTATTATTTATTATAAAATAAATAATACTTATTGAATGTCACTCGTTTGTTTAATTACCACTAGTTCGGGAAAAAACCTGTCCTGGGAAGAAACCAGCAAGAAACCCAGCGGGACTTTTTTTAAATAACAACTTACAATCATGTATGTTATACAATATATCCCGAAAGTAGCACTTAGAACAATTATTACACCCCACACTACTTATATTGCCTTTCATTTATTATCAAATATAATTTTGTTCAATATCAATAACGTTGCACTTTGCTCTCAATACAATAATTAAAAAAAATTAAATATTCCCACAGGTTCACCGTTGTTCACATTCTCTCAAACGCTAGTTCAACATGGACGGGCTGCAAGGGACGAATTAACATCGAGCTTATATCTGCAGTATTGATCGGAGGTAGCATGACTTATGAAGAAGATTCGCTATTTATTTGTGTCTGTGGACCAACGGAATTTTCATATGCCGCTCTAAAAATACTTAAAAATCTCAGAATAGGAGAAAGCTCTATATATGTATTTACTGGCTAAATAAAAGAAGTACGCCATGAGTCTCCACATATTTAAACGAACGCAATAAAAAGGCGACTTAGCAAAAACAGCTTTGTTTATTCAGCGTTTAATAAGGATTGTTTAATAAAATTAACATTTTTTTTATTCAATGAAAAATACTTATATTTCATAGAAAAGACAAATCAAAGACAGTAATTTAATGCCGTAGATGTAAGTAAATTTAACAATTTCTAGTGTAACTATTGCATTCGATTCTATTCTTCTAGAAATGTTCTTTTGAGAAAGTTAGCTAATGCTGGATTATTTATCTAATCGGGAGTTTATCCCAAGCAAGTTCTGTTAGGGATAAACTTTAAGTTTATACTTTTAAATTCTTTAAAACTTTATGCGACTGTTGCCAAACGTCCTGGAGCTTAGAGAGGTATCAATGAATTTGAATTAAAATAGCAAACATGCATCAACAATACCGTTCTATACCTTGATTATGTATTTGTGTTTGATTACATATTCTAAATATATAATTTTCGTTAAAAAAGGTTTATTTTTTAAATAAAAACGGCAGTTATACAGGTAAAATAACGTTAAGTATATAATTTTAGTTAAATATACTTTGATTATGTATGAATGTTCAATATATAATTTTTACATATATCACAAGCCAACATAGGCCTCCCCCAAGGAATGCCACACAGCACGGTCCTATCCACTTGCATCCATTGCCAGGTTGTCACTCCATCTAATGGGAGGCCGACCTACACTTGCTTGCCGGTACAAGGCTGCCACTCGAGAACCTTTCTTCCCTTCCTCGGTTGTCGGTTCTTCGGGCTATACTTTGGTTCTATTGCGTATGATGCTCACAATATATATTTAGTCTAACGGTTAGACATCTATATGTAACACAGTGAAGTCCCATCTCAAACTCATCTACAGATTATATATAGGTACAGCGCATTCAGACAGACAAGCAGACATCGTTACCATAAATTGTTAGTTTGGCATCTATATCTTTATACAATATAGTATCATCATCATCATTACAGCCCTTCACAAGTCCACTGCTGAACATAGGCCTCCCCCAAGTAATGTCACAAAGCACGGTCCTGAGCCACCTGCATCCATCGACTTCCTGCATGTCTTACCAGGTCGTCACTCCATCTAGTGGGGGTTCGCCCTCCACTACGCCTACCGGTACGAGGCTGCCACTCGAGAACCTTTCTTCCCCATCGGTTATCGGTTCTTCGAGCTATATGGCCGGCCCACTGCCACTTCAGCTTACTAATCCGTTGGGCTATGTCGGTCACTCTGGTTTCACCGCGGATATCCTCATTTCTGAGTCTATCACGCAGTGAAACTCCGAGCATAGCCCTCTCCATAGCTCGCTGAGCGACCTTGAGCGTCCTCATACGGCCAGTGGTGAAGGACCACGTCTCAGATCCGTACGTCATCACTGGCAACACGCACTGGTTTAACTTTAGTTTTCAGAGATTGAGGTATACCTGATGAGAAGATGTGTCGTAATTTCCCGAACGCTGCCCAGCCGAGTTGAATCCGTCGATTGGCCTCTCGGTCGAAGTTGGACTTACCTAGTTGGACTATTTGTCCCAGGTAAACGTACTCGTCAACAACTTCGAGCATAGTGCTCCCAACAATTACCGGCATAGGTGTGACATGGACATTAAACATGATCTTTGTTTTGTCCATGTTCATCTTAAGACCTATCCGTTGGGAGACACCATTGAGGTCATTGAGCATAGTGCTAAGGTCCTCCAGCGATTCTGCCATAAGGACTATATCGTCGGCAAATCGAAGGTGAGTGATGTCCTCGCCATTGATGTTAATACCGTATCCTTTCCAGTCCAGTAGCTTGAAAACGTCCTTTAACGCAGCGGTGAAGAGTTTCGGGGATATAACATCACCCTGTCTTACACCTCTCTGCAGTTGGATAGGTTTCGTACTCTGGTTCTGTACTCGGATAGCCATCGTAGCCCTACTATACAAACACTTCAGCACTTCAATATACCGACAGTCAACTAGGCACCGCTGAAGAGACTGTAGCACCGCCCAAATTTCGACGGAATCAAAGGCTTTTTCATAGTCCACATACGCCAGGCAAAGTGGCAGATTGTACTCTTCGGACTTCTGTACAATTTGCCGAAGGGTATGTATGTGGTCTATGGTACTGAAGCCTTTTCGGAAACCGGCTTGTTCGGGAGGCTGGAAGTCGTCGAGTCTGCGTGCGATACGATTCGTAATGACTTGAAAACAGCACGTAGCCGCGGTTCAGAAGGTAAATCGGTCTGTATTTCTTCAAGAGAGCGTTGTCGCCTTTTTTAAAGAACAAGACCACCGCACTTCTGCTCCACGCCTAGTAGTGCCACCATGGAGGACGGAATTGAAGAGCTTCTGAAGGACTTCAAGTACCGGTGTTCCACCCGCTTTCAGAAGCTCCGCTGTAATTCCATCCTCACCCGGGGCCTTGCCGTTTTTAAGGTGGTGGAGAGCCATTCTAATCTCGCTCAGACTGACGTCCGGGATATCATCGGAATAGTGTCGGATAAGACTTGCTCTTGGATCGTTACTCACACTTGCGTGTGGCTCCAACGATGATGTGTACAGCTGCCTATAGAACCTCTCAATCTCACTCAGAATCTCAGGTGTCCCGGATACGATGTTGCCACACTCAGTCTTCAGCCTTGACAGTTGGCTCCTTCTGGCAGACAGATCTCTGGCAAAGACTTTGGAGCCCTGGTTCCGCTCGATCGCTTCTTTAATACGAGCAGTATTAAAGTTGTGTAAGTCTCGCCGCATGCATTTGGAGATCTGTCTGTTCAGCTGCCTGTATGCTGTCAAATCTGTTGACGATTGCAGCCTCATCTCCCGTCTAACAGCCATGATTAGATTAGATTAAGAGTGTGATCGGAGAATTTTTGTGTTCTTCTGCGGCGAGTCTTGCAGAACTTAGCTCCGACCGCATGGACAGTTTCCACGAGCTTGTCATTCATATCGTCCACTGCATTGCAATCCTCTAGGCACTGAAAACGGTTTTGTAACTCGAGCTGAAAGGTTTCGGGATTCTGGATAAGAGCACGAGGGGGACGGAGCGTTGACTTCATTAGACGAGACCTCTCCAACTTAACGTTTAGGTTCAGTGTGCCTCTAACCATTCGGTGATCGCTGCCAGTTTTCACCCTTGCGATCACTGAGACATCACTGAACAGTTGGCTTCTGGTCGTCATAATGAAGTCAATCTCATTTTTCAATATAGTATACTTGAATTAAATTTTCAAAATATTCAATGTACACAAATCATAGTTGTTACATACATTTACTGGAAATAATAATAATAAATCATTCATTTCGGACAACTTTTACATCCGTATTAGTAAAAATGACTTTACTATATTATTATTTTATTAATTATGATTAAAAAATTATACTTGTTACAATAAATTACCTACAATTATATTTGTTACTAAGAGTGACCATTTGGAGCAAGGGTATGTTCTCGTAATCGTCACTCTTCGCACAAAGCATTTCCAGATAGGTGATGTAAATCGGTTTGCTAATGTCTTCAAGATGCTATTGGAACTGTTCCTCACTCTGCTAACCAAGGAGCTCGTTTTTTTTACGAATGATGGCATCGAAGCCATCAGTTTGGTAAATGAGGCGTTACATCTTAGACCTCAGGGGCATAGGTGACAACGAGTGACAAGAGGTGAGGATCTGGGGGCACGGTACCATACTTTTCTCGAAGCAGTTCAAGCCATTTTCGACCCCTTATAACTTCGTTGTAGATAGAACTAGAATCCTGAATTATTAAAGAAAATGAAAACAAGCAGGCATTGTATAGTCACGGTATATTTAAAATTTCATTCAATTTGAATCTGTAGTTTGGGAATTATAATTAGTCAAAGTTTCTTAATTTTGTCACTTGTAGCAGACATAGAAGCTTCAATCGCACTGAGCAATCGAATTTAATATAATATGTATTACTTGTGAGATACATTGTGTTTTCATGCGATGGCTCAAGTCAATCTATTTATTTAAAACATAAAAGATTTTTAATATTGATATGGTCACAACAAGATGTTGTTATGTTAGCTAATTACGTAATAATTTAAGACAGAAGGACCGTTAAGTAGGGACTGAATATATTAACCGACTTGGTATTACATGAATCTCACAACTTTTTACGATAGAACTGAGTTGCGAGACTTGTTTTTTTTTTACAAGTTATGTTTTTGATGGCATTATGATTTTCTTAATAGAGGATAGATGTGGATGTTTATAATGGATCACAGCATCCACTTACCATCAGGTGGACCGTCAGGAAGTTGTGGCGGTGTTTCCCGCCCGGGCCCCGAAAACCACGTAAAGCTGGTTGGATCTGCGTCTGCGCCTGATCTCTTTTCGGTCCGGTCGAATTGCCATCCCAACGGACGTGAGGGAATACCGAGTGCACCTACGCGCACACAATAAACGTGCACTATACACCTGTTCGGCTCAGATGACTACTCTCCGTTGAGACTGACCGCCGTGACCAAGTTGGGTCTTAAGAAAATTATTGTTAACCATTTAAACCTTTCAAACTCAATCAATCACTCGTCCTGGCGACACTTATCAAAGGTTATCCTGAAACGATGATTCGTGACATCAAAACATGAAATACTACATTCTACACTACACGAACATTGACTCTAGCCCTATGCTAAGCAAATACCTAATCTATATTATAGGAGTCGCAGAAAGGAATAATAATACGCCTGATATTTGCTTTACTACAGTTACCTACCTACAGCACGAAAAAGCACCTCAATCATTATTGCAATCGTTTAAATAATATCACACAATGGTGATAGCCTATCCCTATTACCTATCAAAACTGAACCTAGCAACAGTTCGAATGTGTAAGAATTGTACAATTCAAATACCTTTATAATATGAAAATAAGTAAACAACTGTTATAAATATTACTGATAAGTCAATTAATTAAAAATATTTAGGAAATAAAATTACTT